CGTGCGCCTTTTCGCGCAATGAGACGTAATTCACGCTTCCGTTCCGAGGCAATATAAATTTAGCTTTATGTAATATACTGTGAGTCTATTTTATGCCACGGCCACACTTAGGTTTAATGACATTAATTTTCGTATTAATCGAGACTATTTCTATAGACTTGGTATCGATTAATGCGATAATTATGCCTTAAAACCTTAGTGTGGCCACCGCATTAGTGTTAGTAGTAGACGCCTTGAAATGTACGCATTTTTTTTTGTAATAGAAAGCTAAGAATGTCTGAAAAAATTATTCTACACTACATAAAGGTATCATCTGTGATTCTCAAACTAGTGTTCACTACCTAATTTCGGTGTCAATTTTTATTATTTAGGTATTCGATTTTTTATCGTGCAATATTGTTCAATATTCGAGTATTGTATCGTGAAAAATTATTTAATAATTACACGATGATATAATTAATATTTAAATAATAAAACTTGCCACGGAAATTAAGTAGTGAACACTAGTCCGAGAGTGACCTTTTTAACTTTATATATAAAAATATTATTTTACTCTCTATTAATTGAAAAGGGCCATTAATGTGTTAAACTCTGAAATGCAAATCCGAAATATATAGATATTCGATATAAATTTCGCAAATGTTGCAGTTTACCTGCAAAAAAATCAACCCACCTGTCTAGCTTCAACATTTTTAAAATTTGCATCAGCAGTGATCAAATAGTTGCAACCCATTACTTCGTCCTTCGTTTCATTGTAAGGTTCATTGCTGCATCGTCGAGGAAGAAAATACCATTTCTCGTGTATGGGCGACCAGGCACCACTTTCGTGGATGGTGTAGCCTGGCCATTTGATGCCGATAGCATTTCGAAGTATTTTGAACTGGTTCACCCAGTTCAAGTGCTGTACCTGGAATATCAATATTTTTTTGTAAATATTTACTTGTTTAATTTTGTTATACAATACTTTAAATGTTGGTTTTAACATTTGCGTATTTTACAGGGAAGGAAAATGTTAATCATAACAAAATGTACGTATTTGGTATTCTCTTGAAAATAGTTTAAACTGAGATCAATCTGTCGCTTCTTATCGCTTGCCGCAAGTGGTGTTAGGAAAGTAGATTTTTCTCTTTGTTTCATTACTACGATTCCAGCGGTCTTACGGATTACATTGTGGGCGCTGGACGCAGAGGTCTTCGGAATGAACTTTTCTAAATTTGTAATATCTGATTGTTTGGAAAGTGCCCCAGAATTCCGTTGCTCTGGTTCAGGAAACTCCCTAGTTTGAGACAATATATCTCAAAGATAATTAATAGTGAAGTGTTATATGTACATAGTTTTGTTAGATTCAATGTACCCAAGTACTTAACGAAGACAAAGTCACATTCTTATCTATTATCTTATTTATGTACAACTATATTTGTGAACTCACAAGATATAATTTCTAATGGCGTATTATGTATACTTGTTACTGACAACAACAATCTCTACATACTAGTGATGTTTTTTAGATACATGTTATTATGATAAAAAATATGAATCGTCAAGAAGTTGCAAACATATATTATTTACTGTGCATTGTTTTCATACATTTTTAAATTGTGCTTTGTGGAGACTTTTCCAGTGATTTATAACACATACAAGTGACATCTCCTCTACCATATCATTTTGCCTATTACTCTTTTGCTCCTGTAAATGTTAAAAATGGTACCTAACGCGGAAGCATTTATTAAAATAATATACATGTATATTAATTAGAGCCTGAAGATTCTGCTTATAAAGCACATAAAACTTACTTCTCCATGGAAATTAACTGCTTTAACCCACATAGGGTCATACGTTTGAAATTCACCTCTAGCTGTTGTCCACTCTTTGCCCATAGATCCAATATATAGAATTTCATCCTTAACTGTTGCCCATTCAGATTTAAAGCCTTTCTCCGTTTGGCCATTTCCATCAGCTAGCACTAGCCATGGTATGACATGGTTGTTCACTATTTCAAACACCTGTAAATATTGATTGGATTAGTGATTTCCGACAGCCTTAACATTAACTGAAAACTGATAAGAAAAATATAGGTGAAAAATATAGAAATATGCATCGCGTTGTATAAGTAGAAATGATTATTCACTATTATTCTTAGGGTGGCTTCATGCAAGGCATATGCAGCCCCTCATCACTGCGACCATCAACTGATCTATTGTGATCACCACTAATTGCAGTTCAGAGCCAAGGCATTAAAGAACTGGAGGACTTTCTTGGCTCTGACAGATTTTATGTCTTCTGGTTGTGGCAAGTGCATTCCCAGTATGGAGCTTCGTACACCCATCAGAGGGTAACATTGGGTGAGAAGAACAGGAGTTTCATCCATCTCATGGCAGAATCTACACTCTCCATTCTCTCTCTGCCCAATATTTGACATGTGTTTGTTCTAGCCACAACATTCTTTAAGACTAGTGAGAATGCCGAGGCCATTCCTGTCCAATGACAGACCTTCTCCACAGTGTTTGGCAAGGCTATCAGGGCTTTTGAATGGTGAAGACCCTTGTTTTGTGGCTACACTTGTCGGAAGACGTGTATGCTCTCGTTCCGCAGAGTGAGCTTCGCCAGGCTGTATGTTATCCTTATTAGTAAGGGTTGGGGTCCAATAAAAGTTTCTCCAGCACCAGTCTTTGTCAGTTCATCTGCTGCCTCATTACAATAGTTGGTTTGTAAGAAATCATCCCTTTGAAAGTGTGTGAATTGAATGAGCATAAGAAAGTGTGTAAAAATTTTAATAAGGCACTAATCTATCAGTAATTTAAGAAAATAATTTAACAAAACTACTACTAAAAACTAGTACACAAATACTATATGCAAATGTAATATTTTTGTAGATCTGACTGGCCCTCTGTGGGAACTGAGTAAGCACACATTAGGTTACTTATCTTTTGTTTTATATTAGTTATGGTTGTTTTTACAAATATAAAGGTTTCGGCAATTGTTTTAGAACTTCTACTAAATTATAAATATTCTTCAGAGAAAGCTAACTCAATGCACACACACACAAGAACTTAATGAAAATATATCATACATTGAGAGCAACCTTCTGCTTAGTGTGCACTTCTATAATAGTATAATTTGATGGCGCCCTTCATTGACTTACAAATAAATGGACGACGGGTCTAATACAAAAACCACGAAAAAAATGTCCCAAGTCAACCTATTCGAAATTTAAATTGTAATGTCATCGCAGTATCGCGCTGTCAGTAGAACAAATGAAGACTAAAGCGGAGTATAGCGCTCTGTATACGATTTTAGCGCCTTACAAGTGCGGACACTTTTTAGCGCAGACCCGACGTCCATATAATTGTAAGTCAATGGCGCCCTTAGTGAAATTGTTTTGCCACACACCACAAATTTGAATATGAAATATCTAGGGTTTCATCTGAACCATAAACAAGTCTGGTCAGACCATATTAAGCGAAAGTATCTACAGATTATCACTTATAGATTTGAAGGCTTTCGTGGTTATTCACTAAATGATTATAACTTATTTCAGGCTTCTTACCATGGTATGACTTCTTTTTATTTTCCCGATATTTCTCGATATGTATTTTGCTTTTAAAATTCTACATGTGAAATAGGACACCTATAGTAAATACTGGTATTGGGAGAACTCATAATATTAACAGTGATGACAAGGTAGTTTTTAAAATATTACTTGTAGTAAATCTAGGTTGTTGTCAAAACTTACAATTGTACTTACAAGTGTCCATGACAGAATAACAGCGAGGGCTTGTAATTATATTCATCAGAGGCTGAGTCATGGACCCTTTTGACATGCTTTTTTTATTTCTTATGCTTCTTCATTTTCATTGAATTTATTTTTATTAATTTTTTTGTTTGAAATTTAAGCATGCCAATTAGAGCACATTTTATTTATTTTATTTTTTAATTAAAATAGCTACAAGACTTGGGATTTAAGCACTATCAGCACAACTAGTCTCATGGGGGTAAACCATTTCTAGTAAATTTCGGCTCTCTAGCCTACTAAATATCTTCCACTCTGCCATGCTTACAATAAGAACAGTAAGTCTATATGTATTTCGTACATACTTACTGTTAATATTGTAAGCACAGCAGAACTTTTAGATATATACCTGCAGGTAATGTAACTTTAACTGTTTATGTTATACTCACCATGCCAGTTCTATCATCAAATGTAAGTAATCTTCCATCATACACAAGTAACTCTGACAATTCCATGCCTCGTCCTTTATGAGAATATGTAGACGATAACACAGTGGCTGGTTGAGTCTCCCATGTAACTGTTACGTAACTCAGCTCCTTGTTATAAGTCAGGTACCCCTTCTTTAAGAAACTATAGTAAGTATGTGCCTTTCCATTGCTTTTTGAATTAGTGTCCAGGTCTGCCACTATACCTATCTTATACGTTAACATGTCACCAGATCTCATAGGTGATGAGAGGGGATAAGTCGTGTTATATGGGCGCACTAAGGGTGTCCATTTATACGACGTGTTGGTTTGGCCTAGGGTCCACCAATTATAATAAAATAGTACTAATAGAAATATACCAATTAAAGTGATTAGTAACACAAACTGTGGTTGTATCCTCACTGCGTTGCCAACCCTGTAGGTCGCTGGGGTCCGTAGCGCTTTGCGCCAATCTCTCAGAGTACCTTTCATATTACGGTCGTCATATTCATGATAGTCATACATAACGCAGGTTTATTTCATAATTTGTTCCATCTAACAATCAAGTGGAACTGACTAGTAACATATACATCAAGCACACGTGTTATTATAACAAGAAATATTGAAATTATGTACAGTATGGATGGCACTCCAATTTATATTAAATTTTCAATGAATTGCAAGTTCCCTGTTGCACTAGAAAATGTGTATGGATGCTAGGTATTAAGAATAACGACAAGAAGTGAAAAATATTGTTCATTTTTGGAGATACAAATCAATTTTTTTTATTTATTTCACAGGATTTATAAGTAAAGTTGACACATTTTTGACACATCACTCATGTGTGAATGGTTGATGACCTGGCGAGAAAGACAAAGAAACACTGTTTGCCTTAGTATAGCGTTTTCTTTGTCTTGCATTATATTTGTACCTATTATGAAAAATTACAAGGGATATGTTCGTTTCGTTAACTAATTTTGTGCACAAATATTATTTTTAAAACTGCTAGTTGCCAATGTCTCAATAAAAAAAGTTAATTCATATCGAAAAGTCGCGCAAACATATTGTAATCCTTCGGCAATGATAATTATTAGAATAGAAATTACTATTTTGTGTTGGAATCGGTCAGTACGACAGAAATTCGATCACTAAATTATTTAAAATAATTTCGGCGCTGTAATTGACGTAAGCAAAGTATCTGGGATGTAAATCTGTAAATAGCACAAGATTGAAAATAATAGGCCTACACTCAGTAGTGGGTGATAATGGGCTGAAGAAGAAATATTTTAATCAGCTAGAACTTTTATTATTTAATAAACCTGCTACGATTTTAATTATGAGGTCAGATGAAATGACACTAGAGTTAGACTGGCGTGATTGATATAAACTAGAATGGGATATAAAATACAGCAGCGGGTAAAGTCGAGTAGGCTGTAGGTGCATAGGTAATAGTGGTGATAAATAATAATAATTATTGTTGTCTTAGAATTTGAAATAATTTGAATAATTTGTTTAATTATAACTCAATCTAATACAAGTAAACAAATATAAATAAAGCTATGATTTTAAATATACAGTAAAAAAACGAATCTTAATAATATAGTACAGAAAATGAAACTTTAAATCGCGAATATTTGTTTTTTCAAACAAACCAACGTTTCGGGACCATGGGACCAGCAGCTTGATTTAGATTGCCTCTCCCGATCAGAAACTGCATCTTTTCCGAGTCGAGGCGTATAATATTGCGGATGGGCTACCCGATCGGATCGATACCGTTTTGAATTAAAATAAGGGCCCAGATGGGTTTCTGAGCGAGAAGATGAACTTGATTCCTAATACTATATCTTTCTAATTTGTGAGTTAAATCAACTACTGTTCCGATCTGAAATTTCAAAAGTTTCCGATCGGCCAGTTGTGCGCCACGACTCGGAAGAGACGCAGTTTCCGATCGGGAGAGGCAATCAAAATCAAGCTGCTGAAGCGCCCAGTTACATGATACGAAAGTTTTCCTTCGGTTGTCGCGTAGACTTAAGACAAGTCATCCTCTAAGTTGAGATGGGAAAAACTGCTTATTTTTTAGAACGTTTAAGCGTTGTAGCTTTTTAGTTTGAAGCTTAGAAAAACGTTTAAGCGCGTAGACATTTATGTTCTAAAGCTTGCAACGTTGTGTTTATAGCGAAAAGCAAGAGTCTACTACTCTTGGTCTACCACGAAAGGTTTTAAGTTAAGAAAGTTTATTTGTAAAACACAAGTTTTGTTTTTATTTATAAAATTATTATTCACATTGACGAATTAATTTGTTTAGGAAACATAAATGCTGGGACTTGGAACTTAGGCACGTTCTAAAAAACGAAATTGTTGAGAATAGAACTGACCAACGCTTACGTTTAAAATAAAAAGCGTGCATATGTGCTTATTTTAAAACGAAAACTTTTTAAGTGCTTTTCGTTTAAACGCACACCTCTACATTTAAGTTAAAATAGAGCGTACTTTGCCATGACAGTTAGATGCACGCGGTTTCTTCGCGGCGGCAACACGCGTTTCCGACGGAAACATACCGTGCGGCGCGTGAGAATGTCGTTTACATGCGCCCTAAAGGGCCCGAAATGTTGGTTTGTTTGAAAAAACGAACATACGCGATTTAAATCCGGAAACATATTTTGATTTCCTATGTGTAACAATCGCGTAAACCTAAGAACTCGATTGTTATGAGTAACGTAACTAAGTCAAACCTGTTTTCGAAAAAAACGTGGTTAAAGAAAATAATTTAAAATTTACTGTAGCTTCAAAACTATGCAAGTTACAGCGATATGGCATATATCAATAGAAAGGTAAAAGAAAGAAGAATTGTAAGGTGATATATTTGTATATGTATGTTAAGGTTATGTATAATAATATTTCAAAAATATACTTACGTTTAATTGCTGCTCCAGTATCACAACTGATCCTCCTAACCATAACGGCAGTAAGTACCCTAGATACTGCACTTATTATTAGATAAATATCGTACCGCTCATTAATCTAGAAACTACATATTCAAAAACAAATTAATAATAATATATATGATAAATAACTGCAGTATCTATTACGTTACAGCAGTTTTTGCGAAAAATACACTTCATATTGATGCTATTTTCTAATGTTTTATACAGTCGAAACTCACAATTTGTTAGTATTTTCTTACTACACATCGACTTTTGCTTGAGGTTTTTGAGAATATCGGTGGCCTAATTCCCTCCCTTCATTTTTTTCTTTCCTCTTTTCCTTCTCTTCTGTAGTGTTAGCGACGACTGAGTAATGTCACTGGTATTACAAGCGTACATGATAGACTACGGTAAGAGTTCGAGTCCCACAGTTTATTGTATACACAACTGCTTATTCAAGGAATAAATGATTTCTATTTCTATTTCCCAAGTCGGATAAAGTATTAATTGGATTGGGAATATAAAGAGATGAGAAAATTTAGTATTTTATATAGATATTATATTAATTTAGTACATTTATTAAATTAGAATGAAACAAAGAAAATTTCTGTATTATTTATTTGTTCAAATCGCAGATATATTTTATTCCCTGATATATGAACCCTTAATTTCGATTCACAATAAACAATAGAAATAAAATCAAACCTTGCCTTATATTGAAGTTAATTAAAGTTCAGTATCCTTATTACAATTACTTACTTGAGGAACTATAATTTGAGATTACGTTTCTTTATTAATAAAGAACTATATTATTATTATTAATGCTACGACAACTGCTATAACATTCATTCAGTCTTCTCTGATTAACGATTTTACTTGAGATTAACTTTATATGTCAAAAACATTGACTTACAATTATATGGACGTCGGGTCCGCGCTAAAAAGTGTCCGAACTTATAGGGCGTTAAAATCGTATACAGAGCGTCATTCACGCTCTAGTCTTCGTTTGTTCGACTGACAGCGAAGCAAGCAAAATTAGACAGTACTGCGATGACATTACAATTTAAATTCAACGTTTTAGCTTTTTCATATTCCTTGACATGTCACTACGTTTAAATAGGTTGACTTGGGACATTTTTTTCGTGGTTTTTGTATTAGACCCGTCATCCATTTATTTGTAAGTCAATGGTCAAAAATAGCACTTTTTCACATTACGCATTATATACAGGAAGCGGATGACGTCCAGAGGAGTATTTCACCTCAAAAGTCGCTCAAAATGATTTTGTGATTTTTATCGATTTGATATGTAATAAAAAGCTGTTTAAAGTCATTATATTGTATTTAAAACACATATTTCTCGTTGTATTGAAAATTAATTGCAAAAAATATGATATTAATGGGATACGTCGTCATAAGACCCATCGTCATCTTCATTACACCTAAGTTGTTGTTGCGTCTGATGCTTCCGGCAGCAGAAGTTCCTATGTCTCACTGGAGAAAAATTTAGTTTTTTTCTGTGGCATTAGCATTGCACTGCTCAAAAAAGGATCAGAATTTAACAAAAATCTGTGTAAAATGTACCTGCGGGATTTTTTTATTTAAAAACATTATCAAGAATAATCATGTTTTAAGTTACACACAAAATCATAAGTTAACTAGCCTTAACTGATATACATAACCTTGTGTGAATATAGTGATTGCAAAAAAAAAACGTTATTTTTTATTGTGAAATGTATACGGTAAGAAATATCACATTATCAAGTGCTATCCGGAAAATATAATTTTAAATTGTACCTTCCTCTTCAATATTCATCAATAGGTATTACAAAACTTTCACCACACATAAACACATCATTGGTTTGAAAGATTACGTTTAAACAGGAGCGCTGAAATTCCTGTTTAGTGGTGTAACGGTTATTAAGCTTTAACGATGCACGTTTTGTAGATGAATTTAACAAAATTTTTGAAATCGACTTATGATCGATTTTTGCTTAGAAATACACCTCTGTGCTATGACTGATTGCCACTAGCTTAGAGACATCTTCTCATCAATTATAACTGCAGTATCTATACGAGTTATTACAGTTTTGTTAGAATTGCAGCTGCAAAATTTTATAGATTTCCTTATAATAACTGCAGTATCTAATAAATACTGCACTTATAATTAACTCTAAGATGGTAGATTTTGTAAAATATAAATAAAATAAGTGCAGCAACTAATAGATACTGCGTTTATTGCTAGAACTCCATCGCCATTGACTCAAATTTGACTCAAAAATAATATTACTGCACTTTAAATTAGCAAATGTTATATATTGTACTAAGTTACTGTCTACTACTAGTTTCTTCCTGTCTAGTCCTTCCTGTATTACAGGGTTCTCATGGGAATTTTGATACGTGAGTTAGAGCCAAATATAGATCTTGTTTCAATGTAAAACGATTATGTATTTAATTAAATTTCGTCAAAAATGCTAGTTACTACACTTTTTCTTAAGCCAGGAATCGACGATGTTTTAACATCCTATCTTATAATCTGAAATAATGAAGTGAAAGTAGGTAAACTAGTTTTTTTTACTTTACAATTAAACAAATATGAGATAAAAACCATTTTGGTAGGTACTTAGCAAAGCATTAGAAAATCCCACTGAAAAGCCGTTCTGACCTTTTACTGAAAGAGAAATTCGAAAACTTTTTAAGTAGATACATTCATTATGTTGTATTCATTCATTATGATGTCCGTGAGAACACGGACATCCTATGCAAAAAATGTTAGTGAAATAACAACTAAGGCG